AGTCAAATAAAAGTCACGAAAAAAAAATTTGTTTTTATACCAGTTTTTTTACATGAATTTATTCGATTTATTTATTTATGTAAATGTAAAAATTATGAAATTATGAAATTTGATTGAGTAAATGAGTAAAAAAAAAGAGATAGGAAACAAATAAAGATCAGTTTTTTTTCTTTGATTTAAATTATTTTTTTTATGAATAAATAAATTTTATACTGTAAAATATATTGATTGATTGAGTAATGTGTAAAATTTTTATGAAGAAAAAATAATTTTTACGAAATATATTTTTCGTAATAATTTTCGTAATAAGTTAATTTTGAAAAATTTTTATGAAAAAAATAAATTTTATATTGCAGTAATATATGGGTTTATTTATTTTTACATAAATTGACAAATTTTATATTATATAATACAGTATATATTGAGTAATACGTAAAATTTTCTTTATTTTATTTTTTGTAAATATTGCATAATGCATTGAGTAATTTTTTATATACTGTATGAAGATAATGAAGAAAATTTTTTTGATTTGTTGAATAAATTGATAAATTATATTGGGTATAAAATAAAATTTTTTTTTTTTTTGCGTAAGTAAATATTGCGTAATACGGAGAAACCCGAAATTCTGTTTTTTATTCGATATTAAAAGCCTTTTTTGAATCGCAGATTTTTTTGTTTAATAATTACAGTAGTACATAATATGCACAAAGTCACGGGAACAATTTTTCAATAAAATAATAAAAATTTACTTTTTAGCTACTTATACGACACAAGTAAAGTTTACATCACTTTATAATAATATTTAGAAAATAATTTCATGATTATAGATGATTATTATGAATGAATCTTTATAGTAATTTGTTTTTGTTTTGAAAAATATATTTTACTTGAGAAAAGGGAAATAATTTAGAAAATTTTTGTTATTTGTTTGGGAAAATATATTTTTTATTTTGAGAGGAAGTAATTTTTCTTTTTTTTGATGTGAATTTGATGCTTTTTATATATTCCATCCAACCGTTATACTTATTTTCGATTATCGTACATGTAAAAAAACAACTATCAGGGGAAATTTTCAAGTCGTAACCCGATATATTTTTTTAAAATAATCGTATATATATAGAAAAAATATTATATAAATATATAATTAGTTGATTACAAATAACATAAATTTAGAATATTAAAAAGACCTCAACGAAAAAACGATGGACAGGTTTGACAACTTGGTTTACCAGCCAAAGTGACAATTTTAATTATTATAATAGTAAAAAATATAGATTTTTTTTAAAGCAACACTTGTTCAATTTACTTTGATGATTTGATGATTTGTGATAATTTAAAATTTTTAATTTAATGAACATTTTAATAATAATAATTGATTATTTGATTATTTGATCATTCCGAATCTATAATCATCAATCTATTTTTTTAAAAAAATCACTAGTCGCAGTTTTTATTCATTACTTTCATTCAATAATGTTAACGAACAATTACAAAATATTTTTATGTAGATACTGTATATCACATACACATTGAAACGTCACGTATAACATATATATGTAAGTTACAGTAACTACACATATATTATATATTTATATTATATACATATATATTTATTTTGTCTATTTTTATTTTATTTTTAACGAGGTTGAATCCTGCGCTTGCTTTCTTGTGGTCTTCTTGGACGATACCTATATTCAGGGTATTTTTTCATATGTTCTTGCTTGGCAGCGTCTGCCATTTTTTGAAATTTCATACGAATTTCAGCTGGTTCTTCATGCCACATTCTACCAATCTCTTTTGAAACTTCATTATTAGTAATTCCTTGATGTCTGGTTAAGATACCAGGTTGTTTAGCTCTACGATATAAGATGAAAGCATTTGGTGGTCTGGTGGTTTCTTGATCTTTGTTTTAGCGTTTAATGATGCAGCCTTTGGTGGAGGACCGGCTATACCACATGGAAGAGCGAATGAGGGAAGACGTACATCAGTATCAGGTAACATTCTAGGAACATTAGGCTGCTGATACAGGTTTTGCATTCTCCAATAAATCGTTACAGTTTGAGCTTTGGTATCGTTAGGAACTAAAAACCCTCAGGGATGAAATACAAGGTACCCTTATTTGTTCATATAAATCTTGAACTCGATCATATGAAACATATTCAAATTTGGAACTGGGTTACCACCTTTTGTAATTTTTACTTATGGTTGTTGTAGCATTTGAGGTATGAAAGTATCTTGATCACCATTAGCCGCAGCAGCGGGAACATTATTTTGCGGAGTTTGTATTGTTACTTGTAGAAATATTTTCGTTGTTTTTTTACAACCATATCTTTAAGACTGTTAGCTTGTAAGTTTTGAGTAATAGAGGATGTTTGTAACTACATTTTTACAGCAGAATATTCTGTCATAATACAACAAAAACCCTTAAAAGAAGAAGACGACGACACAAGTTGTCAATAAATACTTTTGACACCAGGACGGAAAATGGTGTTAGGGACTTTAAATTTTTTTTTTATATAAGGGTATATATAAAAAAAAAAAAAAAAAAAAAAAAAAATTTTTTTTTTTTTTTTTTTTTTAATGAATGGACACACTTGAAAAAAAAATTTAATTATTTTTTTCTTTAAATATTTATTTTAGGAAGCGAGGTTAATGATATTCTATATATATATGTATATATATATATCATATAACAATATATTTAAAAATGGTCTATAAAGACAGGATAAATGGAAAAGGGACTGGAAAGTAAGAAAAGGGAGGAATATATAACAAAGTTAAACTATCATGTAATGTAATGTATATCACAAAAAAAAAATTATATATATATTAAATAACTAGATTAATTTGCGTCAATAGAAATAAATTCGCTTGAATGATTATGTGATATTTTTATTTTAATGTATTTATAATATAAAAATAGCATGTTAAATGAAACTATTATCATACTGAAACCCCCGATACTTTTTTTGGCCCCACAAAGCATTTTAAAATAATAAAATAATCGACATTTTCTAAATCGATTGGTCGTCCAAATAGAACATAATGTATGGTTTACATTTACATGAAGATCAAACTGCGCCGCTCTTATTAGCGCCCACAAAACCGAAATGCTTTTAAAATTGATTATGACGTAGATAATTGCTGGTCATACTTCTGATTTGAACAAAAGATATTATTGTCTTGTATATTTATGTTTTATTTTATGTAAATATATATTATATATTAAAAAAAAATGGTTTATCTACCAAAAATTTTATAAAAGGGTTAGCAATTTGAAATGAAAAAATTACGTAAATTATTTCGTTATTCGCAATATTAATAAAAAATGTCAAGAATTATTTATTATCTTTTTTCGTGTACAAAAATATCTTTTTTTAAAACTTTTTTTTTTTCTTTTTTTTTTAAAAAAAATGTCGAGTTACGACTTGGAAATTTCCCCTGGTGGTTTTTTTTTAAAATGTAGTGTTACGATAATCGAAAACGGAATTTCTCAACTTTAGTCCTCCGCATGACGGTATGTTTTTTTTTTAAAAAAAAATCAACTTTGTGACTTTACTCACTATAAATCTATTAAATAAATTTATTTACTTAATATTGTGTCTAGGCTGCGCCACAATGCGTGTGTCATGCAAATTATATGCACCATGTTGTGAAACTAGTATCATCCAAAAAAAGAAAAAAAAGGTTTTATTAAGTAGTATAACATCGATGGAATATATAAAAAGCGTCCAAACAAACAACAAAATTTTCTATTAAAAAAAAAAAGAAATTTTTTTTCCTTCTCTCAAATAAAATATAAATAAATATATTTTTTAAAAACAAACAGTAATAAAAAACAAATTACTATAAAAAGAATCATTTATAATAATCATCTATAATCATGAAATTAGATTTCGTTCACTACCATGAGAACGCGGTGATACCGCAAAATATTTTGGTATCTTTACCTTTGAAATTAGAGGACGACGATTTGTTGGCCAAACCTAGACGGGGGAAAATGCCGACTAGGCCCCCAAATAATTTTTTAATATTCAGGACTGCATACATCAAGGTCCTGCGGTCTAAAGGTTATTGGGGTTTAAGGATGAGAGAAGTCACTTCCAACGCTGCGGTGGCTTGGAAGAACGCATCAAAAGAGGTACGAGAGGAATGTCAAAAATTAGCTCTCATAGCTAAGATGAAACACGAGGAAGTTTATGGATCACCTCCTCGACAAACACGAAGGAGGCGTCAGATAAATAAACGTCGCCAACCCAGACGACCCAGTCCAGCCAGCTCCGGCTCCAGCCCCGTTCCTCCTTTAATTTTTCCATAATACGAATTTAAATGCACCATTTTATTTTGATAATTTGATACCAATTTCTTGGCAAAATATTGACATTTTGACCACCAGAAAGTGAACTTGGAGAACCACAGCTCCAATTTAACTCGATACATTCACCTATGTAATGTAAAAGGCATAGAACAAATTTTCGTTTTTTATTTTTATTTATTTTTTTATTTTCATTCTTCGTTTTTCGTAAATATTGGCATAATTCATCCCTATAAAAAATTTTTCAGAAAAATGATCACGTGTCTGAGTTTCTTCGGAATAAAAACTAGAAAAATGAAGTTTTTCCCAGATTTTTTTTATAGGGCATATTAATATTTTTCTTTTTTATTTTTTTTTTTACTCATTTTACGACACATCACACTAATTTTCTTTATTATTAAAAGAACACAAACAAACGCAGACAAAAAAATTTTAAGATATATCCCAAGAATGTAAAACATTTATGTATAAAAATTTCAACCCCTTTTTTGTAAGATTTAAAATTAAGCCAAAAAATTTTCTTTATATGTCGAAATTTCGATAATTATTATTTATAAAAAATTATTCGGATACTAAAAAAATTTTTTTTATCGAAAATTTTTTTACTTCGTTTTTTTTACTCGTATTTTTTCTTTTTTTTGGTGGGCAAGTTTAAACAGACAACAAGAAAAATACAAATAGAATTTTTTTTTTATAAAATAATAAGACGACCTGAAATGCGATATGTGATAAACAAAAAAGAAATATTTTATTTTTATTTATATTTAACAAAAATAGTATTCTTTTAATACTGTTTTATTTCTACAACATTGATAAAATTAAATTTATTTACAAAAGATAGCCAATAAATAGATTACATTTAAGAGAAGTGATTAAGTAATAAATACTAAACTACAACCCGCATAAAACTAAATATTAAAATAAATTATTTTGTAATTAATTATTAAAAATAAGTACGTTTCGACATTAAATATTAATCTCTTTGTGTCTATAACTCTTGAAAATATGGAAATAAGAAAAATAACAACGCGTTAATGTTTTTTTGCAGGTCAAGAAAAGAACATTTTTGTAATACAGCTTTTTTTGGTCGGGTTACACTAATCTCATGATTAAAGTTCAATTTTGATTGATATATATGTGTAATCACTATAAATGTTATATATGCTAATGACGTGACGTTTCCCGATGTAGGTTAAATAGATAACTAGAAATGCGTCTAACACCAGGGACTCCGTCCCTGGACAACCTTGCCAGTAATGCTGATAATCTACTGATAATTTAATGTGCAATTATCATTTGTTTAATTGAAATATGATATAATGATAATAAAATCAAAAGTGAAGTGAAAGAAAATTAAATAAAAATGAAATAAATA